CCACCACTCACACTTGTTCTAGGAGCTGGAAGGGTAGGCCTTCTGGCATCTGCTGCAGTCCCCAAGGATGCCGTCCTGCCCCATGTCTGAGTGCAGAGGACATGTGGGGAAGTTCCTGAGGATGCTGTTTGTGGAATGGTGGGTGGAGGGGAGAGGCTGACAGCACTTTAGACATCTGCCCTGCAGAGCGGGTTGCAGGGAAGGAAGGAGATGCTCCTTGCAATGCCCCTGCACCCTGCCTCTCAATATAGTTGCTAATGAGCAGTTTTACACAACAGATGGGGATGACATCATTGGCCCCACAGAGCCAGATATCCTGCTGGCTGGGGGACCGCACCACTCAGGCCATCCTGCAAGTTGGGCAACGCCCAGTGATGAGCTGGGGAATATGTTACACCATTAGCAGCTGCCTCCTGCTTGCTATAGGCCGCCCAGCTGGGCCTCGGGACCATCCTTGTTAGGTTTAACTGAGCCAGGTCCTCCCTTTTACTTTGATAACAGGACCCAGATCTCTGCTGAACTACTCAAAGGCTCTCATTTGGGAATCTGGAATGGAGATTCCATTTCTAGTGTGCAGAAATTCTCTGCCAAATGTTCAACTGAGGCCAGGGAACCCTGGGCCTGTGAGGCTGAGGTGGCCTCTCATATCAGAATGGTGACAACTGATCTACCAGAGAAAAATTAGAGAACTGTGCAGGCATAGTGGGGAGAGGTGGGGGCAGAGAGTCAGGCAACTCTGGACAGTATGGAGCAGTCTGGGGAGCCAGGAGCATCAATTTCCAGTGGAACTCTACTTAGTAATTTTATGGTAAATTTACAGTTGGAAAATACTTAAAAAATAAATAAATATTCAAAATTTCAGCTTCACCTCCGGGTCCTAACAACATCACATATTAAAATGTGTGGTCTGAAAGGTTCTCAGCTACCCCTGCCAGGCCAGCTCAGCTCCCAGCCACTCAGCAAGCATTTGTCTTCTGAAACAGAGGACAGTGAGCTTCTGTACAGGGGTTCTCGGAAATCACTCTATGGGATACCTCGCTTTACCCAGACGTTGCTACAATGCAAAGATACTCATTCCCTTTGTCACTATGTACTCAGGCCAGGTCAACTGACCCCATCTAAAGGAGAAGCACTTGGGCTTCATGGACAGCAAGCCTGAGATTTTACAGAGACCTAGGAGGAGAGGTCAGCTGATCAGGCTTTAAAAACAATCACCAGCAATTGCAAAGCCAGGCTCCCACAAGTGTCCACCTACCCACGGTCCCTGCTTTTATGAACAAGGCCACTGGTTTGACCTTAAGTCTAATACTTAAATAAAACACACCACCATTTTAGGTGATAAAACACACTTCCCAACCACAGCTCAACAAAAGCTTACTGTGTTTGTTTTTCTTCTCTGGTAGAGGAGGTGGTTTTTCTGGGTCACTTGTTGATTCAGGAGCAGTGAAATCGCCCACAAATTCAACAGGAGCTGAGGAACCTCCTTGCTGAAAAGGGAGAATAGCAGCAAAGGGTGTGTAGGGGATGGGCTGGAGTGGGGCTGGGTTCTGCAGGTCATCCTCGGAGATGTTGTCGTACTGTGAGGGGTGCCGCTCGTAGGATATCCTGCAGCCAGAGCTGTCCATGGACTGGGAGGCTGCGCTTCTGCGCTTCTTCTCCGGGAGAGCAGGTGGCACGTCTGTCTGCTGTCCTGGGGCCAAGGGCCCCTCCGGTTGGGGACAGCTGTCAAGAGGCAGCTGGAAAGGATGGCTAAGAAAGGGAGACCCAGACTCCCCCAAGGATTCTGGCAATGGGCTAAGGTTACAGGCCACTTGCTGAGGTATCTGGTCTACGTTTGAGAGGTCTTGCTGCAGGAATTCATAGTCAGGATCGTAGTGATCTGCATTTGCAACAGGGAAGAAATACCTGTCAGCTGCAAGGCCCCAGAGACATTCGGTCCCACCCTTCTTGCTTTATCCAATCTCACTCATAAGAACATGACAAATACCTGTCTCCACATTTTATTTTATATATCTTTCATTCCTTTCCCTGATTATAAAAGTAAAACAGATGGAAATATGGCTGTTTGCTATACCATTCTTTATACTTGCCTATATATTTAAAATTTCTTCCTCAAAAACAAACTACATAGCTGAGTGCAGTGGCTCAGACCTGTAATCCTAGCACTCTGAGAGGCTGAAGTGCATGGATCCCTTGAGCTCAGGAGTTTGTGACCAGCCTCAGCAACAGCAAGACCCCATCTCTATTAAAACTAGAAGAACTGGGTGGTGCCTGTGGCTCAGTAGGTAGGGCGCCAGCCCCATATACCGAGGGTGGCAGGTTTGAAC